GAGGGAAGGGGAGCGCTGCCGCACCTCCCCGCCTCTGCTGAAATTGCTGCGTCGGGGTAAAGCTCTGATGCTGAAAATATAAATTAAAAGGTGCAAAAGCACCAAAGCCAGCACTTTGGTATCTGGACAGGTTTGTCCTGGGGCCGCGAGCCCCGCGTGCTAGCAGTCACCGCGGTGGGGCGAGAGCGCGCCTTCCTCGGTGAGCCACTGCTGAGCCCAAAATAATAGCAGTGGAAACCGCCTTTATCTTTGAATCTCCTTTGCTTTGTAAATCAAGTTTTGCACCTATTAATTTCGAGACAGGTGCCTTAATTAAAGTTTAGGGCGTGAAGGTTAATGCTACGTGTGTGTCACACTGCTTTCTCCCGGCAGCTGGCCGCGTTCACCCTGTGCTGGCGGTGAGCTCGCGCGGTCTCGCTGTGGCTTCGGCCCTCCCACAGTGTTGGTACAGCTGCACCCTGGTAATTCAGGCCCGTGTGGATGACAGTGGCCTCAGTCCTCGCGAGCTGGTCCAGCTGGGGGACGGGATGGGATGCACAGAAGGGCAGACCTGCAAAGTGCCCGTCGCTGCTTCCGCTGTGTTGGGAATGGACACCCAGCGGTGTTGCATAAACAGCTCTTCCAAACTCACGTGCCTGAGCACAGCTTGAATGGCAAGCCTGAATAATTTATCTAGCTCCTTAGCTCCTTAAAATAAAATTAAAAAATAGGATGGTTTTGCAAGACAGGCCACATGCCGGGGAGGTAGCCTGGCCGAATGAGCCATCCCGCACAGATGCAGAGCTGCACCATGTCCCGACCCTGCCTTCCGCTGGGCCCCCCCGTGCACCTTGCTGCAGGGGCCAGGCTGATTTAAAGCTCCTTATGGCCTGGAAAATGAGGGGGGGGATATTGCATGGAGAGGGTGTTGGGGAGACAGGGCACATTGGGGGATGAGCCTTTGGGTGGCCATCACACGTGGCTGCAGTAGGCGACCGTTTCCCTCCGGGATGTCCCAGCTCCTGCCCCGGTCCCAGCTGGGCCGTCGGTGCCGGTCTTGGTGTGCGCGCACAGGCGCAGCGGCGGCTTGTGCTCGTGCCAGCTCTGCAGCGCGGTGTCCACAGCGCTGCGGTCGGTGATGCCCAAGAGCTTCTCGGCCGCCTCCGCGGTGCCGTCAGAGGCTGCGGGCAGC